GACCGTCTCTGTTCAATATCTTCAACAAAGACTTAGATATTGGCATAGAAAGTACGCTTATTAAGATTGCGGATGATAACAAACTGGGAGGGATTGCAACTGCTTTGGAGGACACGGTCATAATTCAAAATGATCTGGACAAATTGGAGAAATAGGCTGAGGAAAACAGGATGAAGAATAAAAAAGACAAATGCAAAGTGCTCCACTTAGGAAGAAAAAATCAGTTTCACACGTACAGAATGGGAAGAGACTGTCTAGGAAGGAGTACGGCAGAAAGGGATCTAGGGGTTATAGTGGACCACAAGATAAATATGAGTCAACAGTGTGATGCTGTTGCAAAAAAAGCAAACACGATTCTGGGATGTATTAACAGGTGTGTTGTGAGCAACACACGAGAAGTCATTCTTCCACTCTACTCTGCTCTGGTTAGGCCACAGCTGGAGTATTGTGTCCAGTTCTGGGCACCGCATTTCAAGAAAGATGTGGAGAAATTGGAAAGGGTCCAGAGAAGAGCAACAAGAATGATTAAAGGTCTTGAGAACATGACCTATGAAGGAAGGCTGAAAGAATTGGGTTTGTTTAGTTTGGAAAAGAGAAGACTGAGAGGGGACATGATACCTGAAAACTGCTATCTAAAAGGGTGTCATAAGGAGGAGGGAGAAAAACTTGTTCACCTTAGCCTCTAAGGATAGAACAAGAAGCAATGGGTTTAAACTGCAGCAAGGGAGGTCTAGGTTGGACATTAGGAAAAAGTTCCTAACTGTCAGGGTGGTTAAACACTGGAATAAATTGCCTAGGGAGGTTTCTGGAGATATTTAAGAGTAGGTTAGATAAATGTCTATCAGGGATGGTCTAGACAGTATTTGGTCCTGCCATGCGGGCAGGGGACTGGACTCGATGACCTCTCGAGGTCCCTTCCAGTCCTAGAATCTATGAATCTATAAACAAAATATTAACGGCACTGTGGAAAGAAACAATCCTGATTTAAAGTCTGAACACATGTAAGTGTTCATAAAGATGCATTTCCCTCAAATATAATGTGCTTTTGAAGATCATACCTTTCAGAAACTGAACGCTCTAGATAAACAGATGTCCAAGTAGTAGGTCATGAACACTGTTTTGCATGTAATATATAGCAGGTTATTGCAAAGAAATATTTACAATGATCCTTTAATAAGCACTGTCATCCCTCGGACATTGTTTTGTTCTGTTTTTTTCCTCGGATGAGTCGTATATTCTTCCCTGGATATGCCACCACATATATTTCCTACATCTACAAAATGTGATCTCTGGTACATATTTCACTGCAACTTGCTAATTAGAAGCACCTTGCACTTTGGTGATCAGGAAGAGATTTCGTACAGAGACAAATTCTCATTTCAGTTACACCAAATGTATATCTGGAGGAAATCCACTGACCTCAGTGTAGTATCTCCACAATTACACAGTGTAACCAGGATAAGAATCTGATGCTAAGGCATCCTGTTTTTCCAGCCACAACAGTTTCTTCACTTTGGCCTTCATTGGGCAAACATTCACGTTGGTGAGCACTTGCAGAGTCTGTTGTAGTCTATGGGATAACTCTTACTCATACAAGCTCTCCAACGTGAATAAGAGTTGTACAATGTAGTCCTTTAAGTCAACGCAGTAAAATGAGCACATAAGTATTTCTTTCTATTCTGGTTTGTAATATTTTCAAGAGTAGGAGTCAAGTACATTTTCAGTAGAAGTAAAGCAGAATAGTTGTTAAAGCAGCATTAGCTCTGTCCCTTATATAGAAATGCCCAGGGAGCCCTTATTTGCATATCTTTGGACCAAATGTTGCTGCTTCTTTTTTCAATATAGGCAAGATGTGGTTAAAACTATAGAAAGCCAATGCCTAAAAAAGGCCAAAAAAGTAATATTAATAAGGATCAATGTATAAGAGATAGTCTAGCAAGGAAATGAGTTGGTATGACACCATATAATTAGCAGGGAATCATAAGTCAGAACTGGAGAAGGCCCATTTGTGCCGCTTCCATTTTCCTCTCCCCTCTAACGGATGAACTCTTACTTCAGCATAGGTTCTAATGGCTGATGTGATGGGGCTGCCACCAGTTCTTTTGAAGAATACTACAGAAGTGCTAAGTATTAACTATATCACAACAGCAGATCTTCCTATGCTAATATAGAAGAACCAGTAAGAAACAGATAAATCTGACCTAATAAAACCTATAGGAAATCGCAAGAAGTTGTCTTCTTGAGGGTTTAAAGGAAGATTATGAACAAGTGTATAAATGTTTTTCTGTGGAGCTACAGATGTAGTAGAAAAGTTTGCATACATATGTATGCAAACAAGTGGATAGGTTAAGGGTTCCCCAATAGAAGAGCAAGAAAAATTCTAGCATAATACAGGAAGCAAGCCGGATCCACAGCTCTTTAATGTCATAGCTCAGTTGAAGTCAGTGGAGCTATGTCAATTAACACAAGTTGAGGATCTGGCCCAGCATGCATACCAAGGCAATTTTTTTCTGGCCTTTGGGGAAAAAACCCACCTGGCTTACAGAAAGTGGAAGTTCTCTATTTGTACTTTAACCAAGACAGGGATTAAATAACTCAAAGAAAAAAAATCCAGAAGACTATATTTCATTCCTTACATCTCTGAAAATTCTAAGTAAAATAAATAAATAAATAAATAAAATCCATAAAACTATATCCATTTACTCTTGGGTTGATATTTCTAGTAACATTTTCATTCCAGTTATACTCCCCAAGAGATCATGAACACGGTTAGGCTGACAAGCATTAATATATCAGTCTTCTTTATATTTCTCTGTGCCTTCAAAGCACCACAAATGCTTTGAAATCCATCTGGATTTGTTGTCTTCAAGAATTTCAAGTGAGTTGTTCATAAATTAAGTTCTTTGACAGGACACAAGTTGTGATAAACAAAGCAAAATCTGTAACTGCAAAGTATCCAATTTGCCTCTAAGTAATAAAGCCCAGTAATGATCACAGGAATGCTTCTTTAAAATTTGAATACAAATAATAAAGAGAGATTCCAATATGATTCTATCTTCATTGAGGATTTCCATTTTAATCACAGTTGGGAGATTATGTTCTTTTGTAAGGTACTTTTGCTCCCAATCCCATTAAAAGTTTTCTATAAGCAGGGCCGGCTCCAGGCACCAGCTTACCAAGCAGGAGCTTGGGGTGGCCACTTCTGAGAGGGGCAACACGTCCAGCAGTTCGGCGGCAATTCGGCGGACGGTCCCTCACGCCTGCTTGGAGCGAAGGACCTCCCGCCGAATTGCCGCCGCAGATCGCGATCCCGATCGCGGCTTTTTTGTTTGTTTGTTTTTTGTTTGCTGCTTGGGGCGGCCAAAACCCTGGAGCCGGCCCTGTCTATAAGCTGAAACACTTGCCATACTGCAGCATGGTCCCACAAAAAGCTATACTGCAAGTGGTAGATGAAGACATCTTTATTAGGCTTCTGAGTTTTGGGGTTTTGTTTTTTCCAGTTTTGGTTTGCAATAAAATTCATTTTCCTTCCTAACACTAGTATATAACAGATACTACCACACACACAAATATAAGCAAAGTATATGTATGCAGAGATTGATGTATCTCCCTCCACTCCTAGTTTCACAGGAGCAGATTTTACCACGGCTTGGGGAGAGGGTTTTTCCCCCCCGCTCCCGATTTTCTTTTTAAATAAAAAAACTTATGTCAAACTCCATTTATATACAATATATAGATGCACACAGAGAGAGAGGACACACACACTTGTGTATGCACATACGTGAATCTGCATACACATTTTTATGTATACACATAATTCATGTAATCAATATGTTTTTCTTCATCAGAATATGTGATTCATTTCCATTAATGGAACATACGCATACAGAGAGAATAGACTTACCTGTTTACAAATACTTCCTTGATCTAAATCAAATGGTAGAAAGTGCTGTACTTAACATCCACAAGACAGTTGTGACTACAGTTATAAAAATGGATTCCAATACTGGGTGCAGTTATTTCCATCTGCAATTGTGCATGCATTTAGTGGTGATCTGATTGCACATATAAGTTACTTCCCTTCAGTCTTAATCAATTGCAATGGTATATGAAAATAACTGTGCCTACTGTTTTGCACCTATGAAATTATAGGCTGAGTGGAGGCTCAGCTATGCAGTGTCAGTATGTCAGTAAACATATAGGCTGCAATTAAAGTGCTGTATAGCTTTAGTGATTTTCCTTAGCCACCCTGAACACATGCATATCCCTACTCATCCTACTTATTACTTATCCTAACAGAGAGCACGAATAATTGAAAAATGGCACTTTATTATGGGAAGGTTTCATTAGAACTGCCAGAGTCAGAATGGGGTAAAACAAAGCTGAAAACACAGAAGAAATATAGTTCTGAAAAAGATCTAAGGGCACTGTCCAGTATTACACTTCCAAAACTATCAGGCATGATTGTTGTGTGGCAGCAGTGAGCCCATGGGTTTTATTCTTCCACCACCCGCAGAACTTAATGAAGTAACCTAACTGCATTTTAAGGCTACTCTACAGTCAGTAATGCAAGATTCTTACATTAAATGAAGACATAGATGGGGTTGGAAAGCTGTGGATGAAGAACACATTAAAATGCTAACACTAAGCTGTTGAAACCTGGGGACAACATATGCAGGGAAGCACATTATTTTGACATTGCTTCTGAATGTACTGTGCTGAAACGGTTAGGATTTCAGAACCTGGCCATAAAAGGGCACACCAACCACCCACATTTTAAATTATTTCTTCACTTTTTAAAGGAATAAATTGCTGTATCAAGACTCAAGACCTTGGGGAGGGAGGAGAGGAGATGAGCCTACTGTTTGCTGGCATATGCCTTGATCGGTGCTAGTGTTCTGAGCATAGTCATCTAGAGATAGCAGGGAGAAAGTGCTCTGTTCAGAGAATAAATCAGAATCGTTCTGACTTTTTTAGAAGGTGAAAAAATATGGAAAGGCATTCAAAAGAAAAATAAGTTCCTAAGATTACACAAATACCACAGATGACACCAAAGAAGAGACAAGCAGTGTATTTAGAACCTTCATAAAGATTAATTTTCTCTCTCAAATATATATAAGAGACAGGCATAACTGCAAAATTCTGGGCTGGATTTCTAATTCCCTTTATTATCCTCAACTCCCAAAAGTTCAGGAGCATTCAGATCTGGGTTTTGGCTCAGGCCCTCATCTAGCAAATGCACACTCCCAAATGTGCATGCACAACAGTACCTGTTTACAGAACTCAGCTATAATGAAAATCAATTTATAAGGGGCGGGGGGAAGTAACTATACAATCAGGCCATAAGTCCAACACTGTTTCAATACACAAGATGCATTTGCAATGATAATGAACCTCCACCATTGTGAAGTTTCCTGTTTAAAAATAAAAAAAAGCTTCACTATAAAAGTATTCCACTAGATAGAAAAATTGACTATTTAAACACTGCCATAATCTGTCCTCTGACCCATACTCTGATTACACCAAGGTCCATAATCATACCCACAGAAAATTATTACGCAACTGTGACATCCCAGTTTGAACAGGCAAAAAAATAAAAAATAAAATAAAATAAAATAAATAAAAAGAGATGGATTAAAGGATGCATTACTGTCATTAACTGGCTATTAACAATGGAAATCAGCCCCAAATGGCAAATAGGTTTCACAAAGGATAAGTTTTATGGTTAACATTGTAAAATAAGGGAACAGTAAATGTAATGCTGAAAATGCCATGGAAATCCTGTGGAAACTCTCAGGGCACATACATATTAATACTGAATGGCTTCATTGTGATTTTTTTTACACTATAAATACAAAAGGAATTAATAAAGATCAGCTCCCTCATTTTTAAAATGTTATGGTTTCACTGAACTGGAAAGGTCGTGTTTAAAGGGAAAATTATACATTGCCGCAGGTGCAATATTAACAAGAAAGAAAAAAATCCCTCTCTAAGAAACCATTTCAAGAACATAAGATCACAGAACAACCCTCACCCCCCCCCTTTTTTTTTTAAATAAAAAAAGCCCTTACCATGAATTCTTCTAGTGTCTGGTAGGTCTTTCCTCTGAACTCACAGTAGTTCTTCCTCTCTTTGCACTGTGGGCAGCACTGACTGGTGTCTACATGAATACACCGTGGATGGAGTCTTGGGCACTCAGGTTGAATGCACAGAGGTCCCTCATCAGTGCAAAGGCAGGGGCAAGCAGAGGGACCTGGAGTAAACTTCTCCCCAATAGCATAAACGAAGCCACTCTCATCCACACAGCCTTTCCCACGGTAATCTGGATAGGCATACTCCTCCGGAGGCTCAGGAGTAGTACTAGCAACAACTTCTGGGAGGGATGATTCTTCAGCCACCTGAGGTTCCTCTGGAACACCATCCCTTTGCTCCTGTGCTTGAACGTTCCCAGATTTACTGCTTGTTCCCTGACTATTCCAAACCTGTTTTTGCCTAGTCCAAGATTCTTTGTTTGAATAATTTCTGTTTCCTTTGCTCTTCCAATCTCTGGTGCCCTCTTCCCGCCCATTCCTTCCAAGTTCATTCATTTTCCCTGGGCCTGTCTGACTCTGACTGTCCGGCCTGGTTGATGTATGATCCCTCTTTTCCTGACTTGTTTTTATCTCCTGTTTGTCTGGAGCCTTGGCCAGTTTTTGCACAGGTATGGTGGAGCTACAGAGAGCAACCATGAGACAGCAGGTTACAAGAAGAGAACTAGAGAGAGCGCCAATTGCCATTGCAGTAGAGCTGGGCATCACCTACGGCATCCCAGAGGGACAAGAGATGCTGCATTCACATCAGAGGGAATCACTACGTAAATCCACAGTCCCTAGGAAGAGAACAATTAGAAATACTTCAGCTCACACGTTTTTCACCGTGCATTTGTACCAATGCCACATCTCAAACAACATGCAACTTTGATAATTTATACAAAAGACAAACAAAGTTCTTGTGCTGCATCCCTCCTCCCCACACTTTGCCTGTATGTTGTTTTATAGATTGCAAGTTCTTTGGGACAGGGACCTGTCTTCTTACATCCTTAAAAATGCTGTACAAACTTGGTGAGGTATAACTAATAAGAGCTGGCATAAATCAGTTTTTAAACAAAAAGACTGCTGTAAAGTGGATGTACCTAGAATCAAATGAAGCTCCTTAGATCACAGCAGACTCCAGAACAAACATCAACCATTCACTTCCATTTCCTGACTTCATGCATGATGATTTTCATTAATCTTTTATTCAATCTGATAAGAGTTGTTTTAAAATAACTGCTAGTGAGCATGATTTTAAAAAAAAGTAAGTACAAGCATGTTATTAAAGCCAGCAGAGCCCAAATAGATCTCTTTGCAATTTCCTGCAGTATGCATATGCTGCCTGTTTCTTCCTCTGCTTTACAACAGCAAAGCAAAATAGTTTAGGTCTCTATAGCAGAGATTTATTTAAACCTAATGTTTAGCAGAGTTTAACAAAGCATAACTACCTCAGCCATTGATTAAAAATATCATATTAAAATTGTATGTGGTGGACAAAAAATGTGAGACACTGGGTAAACATAAATAGCCTTTACAATTGTCTTCCAACTTTCTGTATAAATTAACATTTGAGCTACCTTTGCACAAAGCCCTTTGGAAAAAAAACCCACCATCACCACCACCACATTTCCAGAATATGAATAGCCCTAGAATAAATGCACCTCTTAGCCTATCTCACACGCAGTTCTGGCTGAAGAAACAGACCAGGGCAGGCATATCATACATCGCACTTTGCTGTCTGCTTTCTATACAGTTTGTTATTGACCCGGAAGGTTAAAAAAGAAGAAGAATTGATCCCCCCCCACACACACACACACACCCTGGTTTCTGGGGGTTCCTGTGGCTATTGTGGAAGGCAAGATAATGTCTAAGTCAGTGAATAGCAGAAAGCCACCTCTGTGTCTAGGAAACCGAGAAGAGATGGAGCAGGAGATAAACAATTGCAAGACAACTGTTCTGCATTCACCCTCCCCTCCTAGGGGGCTGCTCAAACTTTCCCATGGAAGGCAGACAGTGGGGGCTGACGAGGATCAGACTATCCCAGCACAACCTACCTTTGCTAAGCCCCTCTCCAGCCCCGGGAGCAGCAGCCACCTCTCTGCCTCAGTGCCTGGGAGTTCAGAGCCAGCCCTCCCCTTCTCCGCCTGGCATTGCACTCCGCCAAGCGCCCCGCTCTCCCCTCCCGAGCAGCCCTCCCTCGTCGTCCCAACTTTCCCCGGCTGGGGCGAGCCGGCAGGAGTTCAGGCTCGGGAGGGCGGGGAAAGGCGGGCGGGGGCAGCGCCCCTTCACCTACATGCACACGAGCATGAGCCCCGCAGACCGCGGCTTCAGCCCAGCAGCCGGCTCCTGGCAAGGAGAAGCCGCAGCTCCAACTTGGCTCCCATCCTCTGGCCACACGGGGTGTGTGCGTGTATGCGTGTGGGGGGAAATCAGCTTGCTGCTGCCCCCTCCTCCTCCGGGAACAAGCACCGCAGCCACCGGCTGCACCTGCACAGTCCTTCTGGGCTGCTCTGGCCCGGCCCCCCTCTACTCCTCTCGCATCCTGGCTGGACTCCGGGGCTCCCCGCACCCCGCCTCTGCGGGGACTCTGGGCTCTCTCCGCGGGGGCGTCTCCCGGCCGCTCGCCGAGGCTCTGCTGTGGCAGCAGTTTCTGGCTGGCTGCAAAGCCCGGGCGAGAGAGGTGAGAAGCGAAACGCCGCTGCCGAGTCCGAGCGAGAGCTCTGTGCGCAACCAGCACGCCGGTCTGCTGGGGCCGCAGCGGGCTCCACCCCGCCCTGCTCACTGGCGCCTCTCCCTTCAGCTCCCGAGTCCCGCCTGCACACACGCGCCCTCCTCGGCTTTTACCTCAACCTACCGTTCCGTCCTCTTTGCCTCTTCCCTGCCATTAACCCCTGCCATTGCTCGCACTCCTGCTCCAGCTTGCCCCCTTTTCCTTCCCCACTCTCCCCGGGCCACCTCCTCTCTTCGCCAGCCCAGGGGGGCAAAGCGAGGAACTCCACCGAGCTCAGGGGAGGCAGTAGAGCTTGTCTGCAGCTGCAAGTGAAGTGGGAATGGTGGGGTGTGAATTTAAAGGGCAATCGCTACTCCTGAATAACTCCAGGTATGGCCACGCTTACTCCTGAGTACAGTTAGGCCTGAGTAATTCCAGTTGTAAACAAGCCCTTACCCTGGTGTAAAACTGATGCAAGTAAGATCAGAATCAGGGCTGCCCTCTCTCCTTTCCTTGCCAAGTTCGTTCTTTCCCTCCTTCACTTCCCCCTTATTTATATTTTCTTCCTTTTTACTTTACAGTGTTCTCTTTCCTCTTTTTTTAAATTGGTGTTTCATTCATTCTTCCTGCCATTCACTCCTCTCTCTCTTACCTTTCTCTCTTCTCTCCCAGTTTTTCATGCTCTCTTCTTCTCTACCTTCCACCCATTTTCTCCTCTTCATAATCCCCCTTAGGTGCTGGAACAATTTTTATAGGGGGGGGGGACGCTGAAAGCCATTAAAACTGTAAACCCTGTAAATGATGGAAACCACTTCAAACCAGGTGGTTCTGCCCTACCCCCAGTATCCCTAGTTCCAGCACCTATGCAGTCCCCACTGAGTTTCACAGTCCCTCCTGGGCTCAGCTGAGGCACCAAACAAAAATGACCTATTTCTGACACTTTTGCCATCTATTTGCCAGGTCAAAGTCTTTCACGGGTATTTTGATCTACATAAAGCAGGTTGAATTCTATCCAAAGCCGATAGGAAACACAGTATGGGTATTTTATGAAAGTATGTACAGCTAGGTCTACACTAAAACCTGTGACGGTAGAACGTCAGTTAGGGGTTGTTCTTCTTTGACATTTTTATATTGGCAGAAAGCCAGAGCACAGATGCAGTTATAGCAGGACAAAAGAACTTTTGGGCGGGTATTGCTTATTTTGTTCAAGGAACGGCATAAACTATACAGTACCAGCAAGAGAACTCTCCACTAGAGGGGGTTGATGGTATAGCTATAGTGGCAAACTCTCAGAAGTGTAGACAAGGACTATGACTTACCAATTCAACTTATTACTGGATGCACATTATAGTTTTGTCCCTACACATTTGTTTATTTCTTAAACAATTGTTACTTAAATATTTTAAACATAGAAAATGAGCAGAGCAGTGCATTAAAGCAATGAATGCAGAAACTGGTACAGCCAGAATGTTAGCACAGTAACTCAGACAAAGCAAAGGGGAGAAAGTAATCTCTAAGGCATTGTCTACACTACAGAGTTTGGTCAACAAAAGGCAGCTTTTCTCAACAAAACAGTGACGGTGAACACACTACAATGCAACTTTTGGCAACAAAACTCTCCTGTTTTGGCAACAAAATAAAATCACCTCAATGAGCAACATAGGGCTATTTATGGCAAAGATTTATCGACGAAGTGTCAGTGTAGATACCGTGCTTGGTTTTGTTGCCATAAATGGCCTCCAGGAGGCATCCCACAATGCCCATCCTGACCGCCCTGGTTAGTAGTTCAAACTCCCCTGCAGCCAGGTGTGACACATGGCCAGAAAGGTTAAGCATTGGGTTGCAAACTTTCTAATTGCACAAAACCAAACACCCTGGCCCCGCCCACTTTGTGAGCTCTCCATACCAAGCAAACAACGCATCTTCTCAGCTGATCATGGTGCCTCCACATAGCAAATGCTCTCCCACTTGGAGCACAACTAAGTTGCTGGGTCTGCTGAGTATATGGGGAAAGGAGGCTGTCCAGTCCCAGCTGTGCACCAGCTGTAGGAATTTCGATACCTACTACTACGGGCAGATTTCTCATAGCTTGTGTGAAAAGGGCTATGACCGGGACAGGGTGCTGTACAGAGCATAGGTGCCGACTTTTAGTTTTCCCCAGGGGTGCTCCAACACTACTTCACCCTGCGGCCTTTCCCCTACTCCACCCCTTCCCCAAGGCCCTGCCTTGCTCTGCCTCTTCCTGCCCCACTTCCCCAAGGCCCCTGCCCACTCACTGCTCTACACTCTCCCTGAGCCGCCAAACAGCTGTTCAGCAGTGGCCGCTGATCAGCTGTAGCTGGTGGGTGCTGAGCACCCACTATTTTTTTCAATGGATGCTCCAACCCTGGAGTACCCTTGGAGTTGGCGCCTGTGGTACGGAGCGAAGATAAAGGAGCTGAGACAAGCATCACAGAAGGCAAGGGAGGCGAACCGTTGCTCCAGTGCTGCGCTGAAGACCAGCCACTTCTATAAGGAGGTGGACACTGTCCTCGGCAGCAACACCACTTCCACCACCAAGAGCCCCTTGGATACCTCAGCGGAGCTGGAGATGGCGGAAAGTGGTCCTAATCCACAAGTCGAAGTCATGGACGAGCAGGTGGAGTTGGGAGTTGGAGGACAATAAGGTGCCCACGGCAGGGTTGCCCGATGGGGCAGCGAGGCAGGAACTTTTCGCCACTCCAGAGGTGTCCAGCCAGTCCCAGCAGTCCCTCTCTGGTAAGCAAGAAGCAGGAGAGGAGATGCTGGTAAGTGATCTTTTTGTATTGATTCTGCTTGGTTATGTGACATACAGCTGTTCTTTGTTTTGTATACTGTAAGACTGGATGAAGGAATAGAAATGTGGAAGACAAGTTGCGTTTGAGTGTGCTCCAAATTCCCCTGTAAAGCTAAGTTGTGCGACGGAACAGTGTATTGATACACAGTAATATTAAACAGGAATCCTCCAGACAGATCTCTAGGAATCTTTCCTGGAGGTACTTGCTAATCCTATGCCGAAGCTGCTTTGTTCCTTCCCCCATTGTAGGAAGCTTTTCCGCGCCACTCGGCAATCACTTATGCAGGGACCAAAGTGGCACACAGATGAGCAGCATAAGGACTGGGTCTGAAACCGCAAGCATGCAGTAGATGCACCCTTGCTTACCCTCAGGAGTGAGATATCTGCTTCAATGACCCCTGCCTGCGGAAAATGGTGCAGAATTTACAATATTGTCTCTAGGCACCTGCACCACTACCGTTGAATCACCCCAATCACTTTTTACCCCAGCTTCAACAATCCCCACCCACCAAGGCAGAACTCACCAGGTTTAGGGTGTTAGCCAAGATGTGTGCTTGCCGAGAGTCAGTGAGAAAGTGCTTGGTATGTTACAAGAGGTGTATTTTTTACTGTAATGATTTGATGCTGTGCATGAACAAACAATCATGCTTCTGTGTATTGTTTCTTGTGGTTCTAAATACATGGCCTTCAGGGGAACCCCCTACATATTGGTGGAGCATCTCCGCCAGATAATTAAGCGACCAAGGCAGAGCAAGGGGGACATGTTCCGGGAGGTGCTGCAACCCTTTGAGGAAGAAAAAAAGAGAACACAGGGAGTGGAGAGAAATGGAAAGGTGAAACAGAAAAGAAAATCAGGAGATTGTTCAAAGGCCACTGAGCAGATGATAGAAATAATGGAGGAGCAAACAGAGATGCTATAGTCCCTAATCATGCTACAGTCAGAACAGATGCGTGCTCACCTTCCTGTGCAGCCCATACAGACCTGTTTTCCATGCCCTCCCCAAACTCCTCCTACACATTCCTTTCAACTTTCCAGAACTTCTCAGTTTTCCATTCACTCCATCCCTTCGGATAGCTTCCAAAATGGTAGCTGGATTTACGCACAGCTTTAAGACCCTTCCCTTCACTGGTACCTCCCTTCCCACCAAGCCTGTGTGTGTGTGTGTGTGTGTGTGTGTGTGTGTGTGTGTGTGTGTGTGTGTGTGTGTAGTT